ATGTGCCCATGCAACCTGCCTCTGGATCTGAACCACAGCACACCCAAGCACTTCTTTTGGCTATTGGTCAATCACCCTTGTCCTCTTATCATCCCCTGAAGCTTCATCCAGTGATGAAGAGGAGAAGGAAGACTAAGAGCCACATTCATCCCTCATAGTAAGTACAGTAGGGTTTTTAAATGGCTTTTGTAGGTTTCATTCAGGCTTTACAGTATTTTCCCTATACACATGATGACCAGGAACATACCCCCCATGTAAGATGTGAGTTACCTGTATATATCTATTATTACATTTTTTTTCTAAATTAAAAGGGAAATTGCTCCAGCCCTTGATCATTTGGGTTACCCTTTTAAAAAATATTTTCCAGGTTTGCAATGTGCTTTTGAAGCAAGGCCACCAGAACTGTACGACCAGAACTATACACAGTATTCCAAGTACAGTCTCACCATATATTTGCATAATGACATTATGACATTGGCAGTTTTATATTCAATCCCTTTCTTAATCATCCCCAACACAGAATTCACCCTTTTCACAGCTGCTTGACACTGGTCTAGCTGCATGTGTGGTATGACTTGGCATAAGGCAGCTTCCCATGTTCCAAATTACCGTATTTTTCGCCCCATAGGATGCACCGCCCCATAGGACGCACCTAGTTGTTTTTTTTTGGGGGGGAATAAAGGGAAGCCCCCCCCAGGTGCGGGGCTGCTATCTGCAAGCCGTGGGAGAGCTAGCGCGCCCCAAGCTTCTGGGTGCAGGCAACTTCGCGCAGCTCTCCCACGGCTACCGGAGAGCTGTGCGAAGCTGGAAGCCTGGGGCGTGCTGAGCTCAGTGCGCCCCAAGCTTCTAGGTGCAGGCAAGCTCTCCACTAGCCGTGGGAGAGCTGCGCGAATTCGCGCAGCTCTCCCATGGCTTGCGGATAGCTTCCTGAAACCTGGAGAGAGAGAGGGGTCGGTGCACACCGACCCCTCTCGCTCTCCAGGCTTCAGCGAAAGCCTACATTCGCCCCTTAGGACGCACACACATTTCCCCTTGATTTTTGGAGGGGGAAAAGTGCGTCCTATAGGGTGAAAAATACGGTATTATGATTATTTGTTAATGGATTTATGTGACAAATTTGTATACTGCCTCCACCAAATGGTGTTATTTTATTACAGAGATATATAAAAAGTAAAAAATAATAGTATTAACCTGGCTGATGCAGTTCTTTGTTATTGAAAATGCAGATCTCACAAATGAACATGCACTGGATGCATGCTTGTTCATTCTCCTGGTCTCTACTTGTCCTCCTATGCAGCCATTGGGTAGAATCTGGGACAAGGAAGCAGGGAATGCGGGAGAGAGAGATCGAGAGAGAGATCCTGTATTTCTTTCCATTCAGACTGTTCCACCTGCATGACAAGATAGCACTGCCATCCTGATAGACCTATTAAATCTGTGATAAAAGGACGACCTCCAAACCATCCTAAATATCTTCATAAAAGCTTACGAAAAGCTTGGCCTATCACTCAACATCCAAAAAACCCCCCAAAGTGATGCACCAACAAGCACAAAACAATCCCTCTGCAGCGCCACAAATCCAACTCAATGGTGTAATGTTGGAAAGTGTCAATCGCTTCTCCTACCTGGGCAGTTATCTTTCCACAAGGGCCGACACTGATGCTGAAATACAACATCGCCTGAGCTCTGAGAGTGCAGCTTTCTCCCAACTGAAGCACAGAGTGTTTGAGGACCGGGACATTTTCAGGGAAACCAAAATGCTTCTTTACAAAGCTATCGTACTACCAACCTTACTGTATGCTTGTGAAGCATGGACCACTTATAAATGCCATCTCCAACTCCTTGAAAGATTCCATTAACGGTGTCTCTGAAAATTTCTGCATATCACTTGGGAAGACAGGCAAACTAATGCCAGTGTACTAGAAGAAGCAAAGATCACCAGTGTCGAAACAATGATTCTTCAACATCAACTTCGTTGGACTGATCATGTTTGGATGCCTGATTATCGTCTTACAAAGCAACTACTCTATTCTGAACTTAAAAATTAAAAGCGTAATGCTGGTGGTCAACAAAAGAGGTTTAAAGACTCTCTCAAGGCAAATTTTTAAAAATGTAGTATAAACACCGACAACTGGGAAACACTTGCCTGCGAGCGCTCCCATTGGAGAACAGCCTTTACCAAAGGTGTCATGGGCTTTGAAGACGCTCGGTCAGCACATTTCTCCCTTTCATCCTAAGAGGAAGGCGTGTTTAGCAAACCGTCACCATGATCATCTCCCACTCGGAAACCTATGTCCCCATTGTGGAAGGACATGTGGATCCAGAATTGGCCTCCACAGTCACTTACAGACTCACTGTTAAGACCGTGTTCATGGAAAACAATCTTACTTGGCTACAAGTGATCACCAAAGAAGATTGTGCCAGTCATGAATGACATCATGGAGCTATGCAATTATGCCTTCACCAGGTGACATATCTTATTAGCATTTAAACTGAGAGTATTGGGGGTGGAGACAGGGGAAAAATATTGGCGATCATCTCTTTTCCCAGGAAATGACAGGCTACTCACTATGGAATCATGACATACACTCATATCCAGCAATCCTGTCTTTCCTTGCTGGCTCCCCAAATTGAATGTGCAGCGGTAACTAGGTCAAGCAGGCCAGGATAATAATAGACATTGGTGAAGTTACAGCAACAAAAATTGTTTTCAGCATAAGATGCTTATTACCGTTCTTATTTCACATCTCTGTTTGGGAAGAAGATGGTTTTAACAAAAAGCAAGCAGATTAATGGACAAACAACACATATTGTTAGCCACATAATGTAGTTTGGCATTACATGCATAATTTGTTCCTGTGTATAATTATTTTAACTAGAAGGAGCACTTACAAAGGGAAGATCAGGACCAAGGCTAGAAAATGATCTGCGTGGAGGGGGGCTAGCTCTTCCCTACCACACAATGATCCCAATCAAAATGGTACCCCCAGAAGCTGCCCTGGAATGGAGGCTTACCTCCTGGAGCTAAAAGCAAGTTTTGGGGGTCGTGGTGTTTTTTGTTGGGACCGCGGTGTGGGTGGGTCATGCAAAAGGGTTAAACTCCTCCTCTCCACGCACTGCGGTACAGATCCCGAGTGGCCCCCTTGCCACCACGGCTGCTGCTTATAGTTCTAAAAATGATACACACAATTCCAAAATATACATTTAACATCACTTGTACTTTAGCCCTAAGCTGATGGTACGACTGGAATTCAAACTGAAACACTAAAAATCCTTTGCTTCTCTTATTTTCTAAAAAATAATAATCATAATGGAGCTAACATAACAGAATGCATCAAATTCATAGATACTTTAAATATCTCAGGCACTGCCCATTCAACCCACTCTCTTAGTGCTTAATTTTTAAGATGAATTGTGCTGGAGCTGTCTATAAATATTTCCTCCTGTCATGGAAGTCGCCATCCTTAATTGGTGAAAAATACACAGCACTGAGAGTAAAACACTCTGCACAAGCTACTCTTTATTATTGCTGCACCCAAGCAACAGAAAGCAAGTTTAGGAGCTTTGTTACTCTATTGGGAAGATCTGGCACATGTTAAGCTGCCAAGTGTGATTTAGCAGTGTCTGATGGTATTTTTCTGTGACTAATAAGTAATATATTCCTGCCTACTTTCACCATTGTTAACTTGTGGAACATTTGTTCCTGCTTTTAACTGCCAGAGTCTTCAAGCAGTCAAAAAATTTGGTCTCAAATACATTTTTAAAAATGATACATTTTAATGACTCCTATGCTGAGCTCTGGGATGTGGGTGGCGCTGTGGGTTAAACCACAGAGTCTAGGACTTGCTGATCAGGTCGGCGGTTCGAATCCCCGCGACGGGGTGAGCTCCCGTTGCTCGGTCCCTTCTCCTGCCAACTTAGCAGTTTGAAAGCATGTCAAAGTGCAAATAGATAAATAGGTACCACTCGGGCGGGAAGGTAAACGGTGTTTCTGTGTGCTGCTCTGGTTCGCCAGAAGCGGCTTAGTCATGCTGGCCACATGACCCGGAAGCTGTACGCCGGCTCCCTCGGCCAATAAAGCGAGATGAGCGGCGCAACCCCAGAGTTGGCCACGACTGGACCTAATGGTCAGGGGTCCCTTTACCTTTACCTATGCTCTAGGAATACTTGTCTCCCACTGCCACTCCATGTTATCTACACAGCAGTTCTGTGATGTAGGTTAGGCAGAGACCAAGGTCACCCAGTGAACGTCATAGCAGATCTTAATTGGAGTTTCCCCAGTCCTGGGCTGAACCTGTAACCACGACAACATACCGACTCTCAGTTGACTGGTTCTCACATTGCTAGTTAATAGAGAAAGTAGCTAAGTTGGGCTGATGTTATGGCACTTGGGGTCACTGCATCCTGTATCATGAGGCTTCATCTTGCTTTTCCCTTTTATCTGACTTGAGTTACATGGCTAGATGCTTGTGGTTCTGTATCAAGATAAATGCCTGCTCCTAAATAAGTCTTAGGAATAATGTTACAGCAATGTATGACCTTCCTTACTGCGTCCAAATAGTAGTGACATTTCTCCTGGACATGCAATATTGCTAGGTCTTGCTTCAAACACCACGTTTAGAGCAAAGGGATGCTAGGGCCTAATATGTACCCCGAGAGCTGCCTAAAAGCACCACCTTGTGACGACTACTCCCAGTCACAGGTGCTGCCGACGTTACATGAGGAGATAGCGCTCTCTCTGTACATGCTCAGAGGAACCTTCGTTGCTACCTCGAAGCCTTAGGATTGGGTGCGGGGTGCTAAACTCCGCTTGCTTGCTGCTTCTGTTTCCCCAACCACCTGCGCCTCTTTCCGCCTCAACAGGAGGAGGAGGCTGCCTCGGCGTTTCCCCCGAGGAGAGCGCGAGGGTTCCCTTTCCCCCTCCCCCGCCTGCCCTCCCTCCCTCCTTCTGTCCCGGCTTTTCCACACAGCCCAAGACTGGCGGAGGGAATGCCAGAGCGCAGGAAGACGAGCGCGGCAGCAGGGGGAGAGCTTGGAGCAGCAGCAGCAGCAAAAGCGCCGCGCGCGCGGTTGGTGGAATCCCCGCGCGCTGCCGCTGCCTGTGAGGAAAAGAGCGGCTCCCTTTTATCCTCTCGGAGGTGACTTAGCAACAGCTGCTGCTGCAGCAGCAAGCAAGCATCCGCGCGCCCTCCCGCCTCAGCTAGTCAGCGCCAGCGGCGGCGGCGGCGGCGGCTTGACTTCTGAGGCGCGCTTTCTCTCCTCAGTCGCCACCTCAGGTAAGACGAAGGGAACTTCCCGCGCTGCCTCTGTCTGTTCGTCACGCTGCGGAGCACTCTTTTCTTTCTTTCTTTTAATGGTGTGTGTGCTTTCGTTATGTTTGTGTGTTGTTCTCCAACGGGACCTCTTTCTCCAGCCTCCTATCCTCCTGTTGCAGGTGCTTCTGGCTGGCGCCTTCTTTTTGCCGCAGGTTTTTCCCGCCCCCCCCCCCGCCAACCCCCGAAAGGTGCTCCTGCCGGGCTTTGTCGTAAGGTGACCTTGAGCTGCTAGGTGGGCTTTTCAGGCGGCGGGGCCGGGATTCGCAGTGCGACTCTGGCGGGGTGGCCCGGCCAAGTGAAGGGCACAGGGGAAGGACTCTGGACTTGGTCCGGGGAGGCTGGAGAGGAGGCTGGAAAGGGCGCTCTGGACCAGCCTGCAGCCAGCACGTCCCGAGCTCTGCTGGGAAGCTGCTCTCTGGGAGACCCAGGCTGTCCTCCTCAGGATGCTGACCTGGGGCTGGGGGTCCTCAGAAACCAGTGGGGCTTGCTTCTGAATAAGCAGGAATAGGACTGAAGGGTGGAAACCTCTGAAGTCTAGGGATGGAGGTGGGGAGATGTGGTGAAATTTATGCAACAAATGTGTGTGTGTGTGTGTGTGTACTGTATTTAAAGGAAAAAGCCAAGCGCCTCAGAACATGTTGCACAAGGAGAAATGGTAAGGGACCTTTCATGTCATTGGGCGACTGGAACAATATTCCACTGTGGAAACTCTGGAAGGGCAAGGATGCAATTCCCCTTGAGAAAATGCCTTTGGATGGATACACCAGGAGAGCTGTAGCTAATTCAAGGCTGCCCTTAATTTTATAAACACCAACTGGGTTGATAATGGCAGGGTTCTTCTAGGGAAGGGAATTTCCAGATGGCAACATCTCCCCGGCCCGGTTTTTGAATGGATTGTTGTTACTTTAAGGCAATTTGTGAGCCTGGCAAATAAAGGCATTTCAGGAGCTTAACCTTAGTAGCTGATCAAGCGGCATTAGAGCAAAACAATTTAGAAATATTTTTAAAGAATCGTTAAGAGTTTTACAGGCTGCCATTCTTTGATGGGAGTAAGAGAAGCAAGCGCACAGTTATTGCAGGCTGGGACTATCTCTTGCTCGCAAGGTCAAGAACAAAGTAAAACTTTGTCATGGAAACATAATGTTCTGTTCCCCAGTGCAACTGTATGCAATAAACGAAGAATGTAAAAGTGGCTAATGAGGCATCAAAACAGTGTATTGCATTACAGCTTAGTTCACTTCTGCAGTAAGTAAACCTGGCGCTGCCTTTCAGTGTGGTACAGTGGACCAGGGTGAGCTCATTTCAAATCGCTCTATCCAGCCAGAAAACTCTTCAAGTGACCTCTCTCTTTCTCTCATCTACCTCACAGGGCTGTTGTGAGGATAAAATTAATTTGAATTACTTGGAGGATGTGGGAATGGTTTTGTAAGCAAATTGTATGGAACACTATTGGCTTGCATTGACAAATCAGTAACCAAATTGGAAATCCACACATTTTCTCACCTTTTCCAATGGCACATCTTATTCTCTGTGACTCCATGTTCAAAATACTGCTCCGTCAATAAAGGAATGTTTTTTAATGGATACTGCACTTTGGAAAGAACTGTGATAATACTTGCCTTGTATAGAAAAATTGTAATAAAAGCGTACTTTTTAATTAGTAGTTGCAGAACTGGAACTGTTGTTTCCCCCCCATTATATGCATATAATGTAAATTCTCATTTTGAGAAATGAGTGGGTTGCATTTAGGCATTCTCCTCCTTAATGTAGTATTTGGTTTTCAATATATAAATATACTGTATTCTATACCAATACTTAAACGTTTTATTTTAAAGCCCTGTATGAATTACTCTTTACATGCAGTTTATAAAGGACTACATCTATGATATCCATTATTTTTGAATTCTACTAAAATATCTTGCTGGAACTAACACTCACTACCTGAATTTCATTTTTCAAGGATAGTATTCATTCAAGAATAATCTGTGGAAATGTGTACTTTTATATCAAACCTGGCCTAACTTCTCTAGGCTCCATTGGAAGAATGTGGTAGCTATGTGTAGAAGGATACCAGTTCCCTTTCCCCTCTAGCTACACAATGACTAGTCCTTTTGAAGGAAGGATGACTGCTTAAGATGGTGACAGGAACATAGGAAGCTGCCTTATACTATGTCAGACGAATGGTCCATCTAGCTCAGTATTGTCTACAGTTACATAGGATCATAGGGTCATTTCGTCCAACGCACTGCAATGCAGGAATCTCAACTAGCTCCTGAATTTCAGCTGGGGTGTCTTTCCTAGTCCTACCTGGAGATGTCAGGAATTGAATCTGTGACCTACTTGCAAAGTAGATGCTCTACCACTGAGCTATGTCCCCTCCCTTCCATGCTGTATCCTGCCTAGGGAGAAAATGATGTCTAGAGATAGTTGGCCCCTCTTTCACTGAGCTGAAACAAGGGCTGAACACAGACAATCAACTTACAACTTCAGATATATGGAGAAGTGTGCACATTTCCTAACTGTATTTATAGCAGTACGGGCAACAATTAATAATTTTGAACTATTTTGTGGTTTCTATTGTTTATGACTAGTTGTGTTCATCTCTTGCTATGATGTAAAGGTATTACATACATTTTGTCACTACTTTAAGTTTTGCTGTTAATAGAAGTATGGTCTTAAAAGTCTACTGATAATGTTGTATGTATCATATTTTAATTCCTTTATGCAATATTTATAGGCAGTTTTCTTTCTTATGCACAACTGGAAGTTGCTATTTCTTTTTAATCAGTCGTGCCTCTTCTATGCACATGTGCTCACTACTCCAACAAGAGGAAGAAGAGAACCTTTCCCCTGCAAATTCCATTACATATTAAAATCAAGATTAATAACTGATTTACGTGTCCTTATTATAAAACAGAATAACTAATGGGACTTCATAGATCACAATATAGGGTTGTATCCAATGAGATAATTGCATTTGGGTGTGTTTGTGGAGTGGACTAAGAGAGAAAGGGGAAGTTCTGGTGTGCTCTCAGAAGTTGTTACATGTGCACAGTTATTTAGTTATTTAGTATCCAAATATGCTAACACAGAAATAAAAGGTAACAAAACCAGAATATCTCACAAACGGTGTGTGTGTGTAAAGATACACAAAACATGATATTGTGAAATTTGAAAAGAATGGGAAAAAGCAGGGAAGATTGCTTAAAATGTTCTTCTTTCCAGTCATGAAATTCTGTAGCCTGGAGGAATATCTTCAGTGTTGTTATTCATGGATAACTAATACAGACCATCCAAACTTTACCAACATTTAGAATGCATTGCAGAAAAATAACAATAATCACCTAACCTTTATCTTAGTACCAATAACCAAGCATTTACATGGTAGAAAATCCTATTACATGGGTAGCCGGTCCATCTATAGTGTCACCAAATATCTGTCCATTTCAAATTATGGTGAATTTTCAAAATTTGAAATTTAGATTTTGTAAGTTGGCATTAACATTCAATTCCTGAATTTCAGAATAAGAAAAATGACACCAATGTTCAAAATCTGCCTGTTTTGCTTAGTTCAATGAGTAAATGTCATTTGGAAAATTTACTAAATTATTTTGCAAGTCATCTATCATATACTCTCACATATTGATTGCTACTGCATGTCATATGTCAGATAGTGTAAAATCTTGGCAACTACACATTAGATACTGACAAATGTTAACTGTGACTGTAGGCCAGCTGTCAAACACTGCCAAAACTTACTGCTACATGTTAGATTTCTTTCAAATGTGATTGCTGGTGACTGCTACCTAAAAAGATTGGACGACTAGATTGCAGAAATCTTTAGGTGGGAAATGATGGTGTGGAATAACTGAAAACTGGAGAATATTCGCCACTGGAATTAATCAGAGGAGAACTTTGAAGTTTGTTTGTTTTTAAATCATTTCCTCTCTGAATTTATGCAAGAGTTGTGCTGGTATTCACCACACTTTTCCTGTTAAGCACAAGGATCACCACTTGTGTAATAAGGTTGCCCTCCTGCTCCTTCCCCCTGTACTCTCCCAAAATCATCTGTGGAGGTTTGGGGGAATACCAAGAACAGATTTAGGGAACATGTGGAAGGGGATGAGAGGGAGGAAAGTCTCGCTGTGCTAGCAGTAATCCTTGTGCTGATGGGACCCGGAGTTAGTGATATGTTAAATACAACCCTTGGTATTGGCAAGAACTAGAACTTAGGTTGGCTCCATATTGAACATGGATACCTTCAAATGAGACTGTAGCTTTGTAAGTGTTTACTGGAATCGAATCTTTGCTAACTTAATGATAAAAAGGCTTTTTTGTATATTGTGCTTTAATGGCCATTAAAACATTGTTCATTAAAACTTTAAAGGCTTACTTCCATTTAATTCACATAGCTTTGAAATTATGATTGATATTATTATGCATTGATATAAAATGGTTGTTTCTTCTGGAGCTGATATTCAGAATGTTAATATGTTATTTGAAGGCAAAGACTATTTCACATTCATAATTCACTCACTGCAATAAGATGTTATTTGCGATGAATCTCATTCTCAGCATGATTCATATGCCTTTTAATTATAGCACCAACTCATAATCCCAACAGAGTTCGATGAAAAATAAAAATGGCAAAGCATTTTGCACATTAAAGGTGTTATGAACAATAAGTGATAATACTCTATTCTGTAGTGCTGAGAAATGTTCAGATACCATAATGACATTGCATTGGTGAAGCATCATATGTGCAGTTGCATATATATTTCAGTTGACTGGCACAGTGTCACTTAACTCTGCCACTACTGTCAGCTACATTAGCTACCATTAAAAAAGTGTACCAGAGCTGCACAGTGCAACAGCATGGCACATATTTGGACACAAAATGAATGGATAGGGGGCCAAGCCTGCAGACGGATCATTTACATCGCATTCTAAAGTCATATTAG